CTTGAATAAATCTGCAAATCGCTGATGGAAGGGATATAAAGACCAATGGAATAAATCTGTGGTAGAACTTTAACCCTTAGGAGATGATTAAATAAAGACTATCATGAATATGCTATGCAATAACTTTTTTAAAACTCAAGATTTGGAATCAGAGAATGAGAGTTCTGGGGTTAGCTCTGTCATTTAATTAGCTCCAGTTTGGTGGGGGGAGGGGGGGATTATTTAACTTCTGTAGCATTCAGATCGATTATCTATAAAACGAGGGTAATGGCAGGGATGTTGTGAAAGCACTTTGGAATGGTAACACAGCTTGACATGTTTGATGTCACAACAAAAATGTTGAGGTATCAGGGAGCACCTGTGGCTCAGTGGGTAGGGTGCCAGCCCCATATACTGAGGGTGGCGGGTTCAAACCCGGCCCCGGCCAAACGGCAACAAAAAAATAGCTCGGCGTTGTGGTGGACGTCTGTAGTCCCAGCTACCTGGGAGACTGAGGCAAGAGAATCGCTTAAGCCCAAAAGCTAAAGGTTGCTGTGAGCTGTGACGCCACTGAGTCTACTGAGACATAGTGAGACTCCATCAAAAAAAAAAAGATAAATAAATAAACGAACTGTCCCAGAAACTTCTTTCTAAAATTAACCTCATTAACTCTTATCTTCAGCGCAGAAGGCAAAATTACGCCAGGTGTCCAGGTGCAAGTCACGAATCCTTTTAGAGTAGATTTCTAGACCCTGTTGCCCAAATCATTCACTGAAAATATTTATACAAAGAAGGGAGAGAACAGGGTGTCAACAGGGAAAGGTTGTCTAAGCTGGCGTGGAGTTACCTTTGGCAAAGAGCATCAGCAAATCATAACCTCCGGGCTCCTGCCACATTTCTGGGAAACAGAAATGGACATTGTTTCCCCACGATGGTCTTGTCCTCTAAACAATTTTGAAACTCCTTAATCTCTCAAATCTATCTGAATGCTCACAGGCGGTAATCAAGGAGAGCTGCTCAATGTCATATAAAAATAGTACTCAGACTTTAAAGACAGAGCCTGCAGCTAGTTTGAGAGCAAGGCAGCAAAGGTTTTAGATCATGGGCTTTTCCTAGCAGAAGAGTACTAGTTTAGAAATCAAATAATACAGGCTGCACCTGTGGCTCAAAGGAGTAGGGCGGCGGCCACATATACCAGAGGTGGTGGGTTCAAACCTGGCCCCAGCTAAAAACGGCAAAAATAATTTTTTTTTAAAAGAAATCAAATAATACTAAGAATAAAAGTCATGGGTTTGGGAGTCAGGTAGCCCTGGGCTTGAGTTTAAGTTGTCTCATCATAGCTGAAGGGCTGGGAAAGTGTATTATTTGCCCATTATTGCTGTAATAAATTGCTGCAAATTTAGTGGCTTCCACAACACAAATTATTTGTTACTTTTCAAGATGCCAGGTGTCTAAAATGATCTGGGGGCCTATGCTCCTCCCCGATGCACTTGTACAGGCTGCCCACCTCCCTCAGCTCCTGGGTCCTTCCTCCATCCTCAAAGCCAGGACCGTGGTCTCTTCCCTCTGACCTGTCTCCCTTTTATCAGGACTCTGGTGACTGCATGGGCTGACAGTCTAACCCGCGATAAATCTCCCTATCTCAAGATCTTTACCTCATTCACACTTGTAAAGTCCCTTTTCCCGTATAAGTTCTACCTTTTTCTTTCCTCATAGATTTCAGGGATTAGAAGCTGGACAGCTGAGGGGGTCATTACGGCAGAGAGTACAGTTCTCTTGTCTTTGACGTGAGAACTTCAAATATTTTCACTGGATGGGGGTGTTAGGAGAATTAAACAAAAGTGTATACATTGTTATCAAATAGCATGATAAAAATAATTTCTTGATTAAGTGATTTAAGAACTTTGAAAACATTCTTGGGAAAAGTAAATCTGACCCCTGCCCTTGGTGGAGAAAGACTTTAAATGAGTGATCGCAAAAATAAATGTAGGTTTGTAAATTCTGAGGAAGCACTCGCAAGAAAGAGGACGGGGCAGGTTGGCAAGGACCAGGGAGGCCTCTTCGTAAAACGTCAGCTGACAGCTACTTAGTCAGAGAGGCCTCGCTGATCCTCGATAACATACTCAGCTTTCAGTTGGTATTTTATGAGTAACTGGGAATTTCTTAGCTGAGACAAAAAGTAAAGAAGAATATTCCAGAGAAAAGTGAGCAAAGCCCCACAGCAGGAATGAGTGTGGAACATCCGAGGAAATTTGACGGCGGAAAGACTTGGTAAAGGCCATGTTGATTAGTAGGATGCAGGCACTCCAATCTGTACAAATAATCAACACATTGAATCCCATAATGGCATAAATGTATTTATGATCTATGTACAAATGACTTAATAAAAAAAAATAAAGAAAGACTCAGGGAGAAAGTGACATAATAAGATGCAGAAGTGACGAGGGACCCGGCGGGTCACGCTGAGAAAGGCTGTGCCCGGGAAGAAATGGGGCTTGTCCTGAGAGGCCTGGCGAGAGTGGTTCAGTCAGACCCCGGTTAGGAAGTGTGGCTCTTGGGGGCTGTATGGGGAGTTCAGGGCAAGAATGTAACCAGGAATGCCCAGAAAGAGATGTGGTCTGAGTCCAGGTGAAAGATGATGGACTGGCACAGGCTGGGCAGGGGGGGATTTATTGTGGACTGCCCTTGGGATCGACATCTGCAGGTGGGGAAGAAAGAGGACTGGACGGGGTGGGTCTCACCCTGCTTTGAGAGATGACCTCAGGTGTGGATATGGGACCTAGCATGTCCAAAGACTGGGACTCTACATAGCCGTACGGGTCAGCCTCTGGACGCTGCCTGGCCAAGAAGGGGAATAGGGTTCCCCTGGGTGACATGACCTTCCTCAGTGGTGGCAGTTCCCACTGGGCGCTCACAGCTAGGCATCTGAGAACATCTTAAAGGGAGCTCTGGGTCACGTATCTCCCACCATATGGAGGCCAGTTATAGATAGTTGTGATGAAAATAGAGAGAAAGTGGACGGCTTTGAGGAAGATTTTGTAGATAGAGCTAACAGATCTATTTGATATTTACAGAGGGAGAAAAGGGGTGAAACTTAGGTGGGGGCCAGCTTTCAGGATTTTATAACAAAATAGATATTTTACCACTTTTTAAAATATATTGGTATTGATCAATTAGATAAATAAATGAGTCTATACTTCAGAGGATGATTCCAGATCGGGGCTCAGAATTTGGGAGTTATCAATAATAAAAAGCATGAACCCACATAAAGAATTACCCCAAGAAAGGGAGTAGCATGAGAAGGTTGAAGGGGCCGTGAGTAATGCCTGGAATTAACACGGGTTATGTAAATTTCTCCTCACTGTGCTTGACATACAATAAAAACTCAGTAAATCCTTGCTGCCATAATAGCTTTTATTAATGAGAAAAATGGTTGCCACCAAGGTGTGCTGTGTCTGCCGGTAAATCTGTAGTTGTGGAACAGAAGGTTCTTCCCTGGAGAAATAGGGACACACAGCAGCCAGTTGGTCATGAGCTGAGTACCAGCTCACTTAGCAATGTCCTGGGAGGACTCTCGGGAGGGGTCATTCTGGCCTCCTGTTTATCTTCCCTGCTCCCGCTGCCCCACCCGGGCTGCTGTTCCTTTGTCGTGCAGGTGTGCCTCTGCCAGTTATACACAGCTGACTCCTCCACCCACTTCAGGTATTTGCTAAGTTTTGAAGAGCTATCCCTGAATACCCTAGGAAAGCCTCACTCTTCCTGTTCATCACTTTCTGAAATGACGCACATTACTCTACAAATATACATGTCTGCACTGTCTATTTCCAGTAGAATGAACCACAAACTTCACTCTTTGGTTTGTTTGGTTTACTGTTGTATTTCCAATGCCTAGAAAAGGCATTAATATGCATTTCATAAATATCGATTGAATAATTAGTACATAAATTAATGAATGAATATCAGAAGAGCCCCCTGACTCAATGGCACTTTCCCCACCGTGTCTCCTGGTCCTCCTCCCCCGTGTACCTTTTCTATTTTTTTTTAGAGATAGAGTCTTACTTTGTCGCCCTCAGTAGAGTGCCATGGTGTCATAGCTCATAGCAACCTCCGGCTCTTAGGCTTAGGTGATTCTCTTGCCTCAGTCTCCCGAGTAGCTGGGACCACAGGCGCCTGCCACAACACCTGGCTAATTCCACGTACCTTTTCTAGATGTAACTTAACTAGCTGATAAGAAGCTGAAGGCCAGCTCAGCCTTCTTGGAGGTCTGGAAAGTGGACCAGATACCAAGTCTGTGAAGACAGAGAACTCTCCAGGGCCCTTTAAAGCTGAGATCTAACGTATGACAGGTCCATGCTTCCGTGGGGACACTTGCTGGCTGAATTTTATGGAAGGCAGGAAGAACCAATTTAAATTCTTCCAAAGTAGGCATTGCTCTATGTCTGAGTGTTGCCAAAGTAAATTTTATGAACAAAAGGTCAACTCATTCCTTTTCTGTCCTGTGCACATAACACCCTGGATTAACTTTCCTACCCCCTTGCTGGCTATTCTTACTGCTATAGACACAAGCCTAAGGAAATGCCGTTGATTGTTATTACTGTTATTAAATTACAGTTGCATTCAGGGACAGGAGATTGGCACTTGCAGACGGCCTCTGAGAAATCACGGCTTCAGGTTGTGTCACGTCAGCATTTTGTGGTTATAAACCCCTTCTGTGGTCTGACATAATGGGGAATGTTACCCTTGATGGTTCCACTTTCTCTCCCTCAGGCAGGAGTTGAAGGGGTGCCAGGGCTGACAGAGGTGTCAAAGGGCACGGGGAGAGACTGCCAAGTGTTTGCAGTGCCCTTTGTGAACTTCTCTGGGAATGAAACTGTCCTGAGGTTAGCAGAACCCCTTGTTCTGATTGTTGTTTAGAAAGATTTTGAAAGTCTGAGCCACCTTGTTTGTGTTTTATCTTCACAGTTACCTGTTTTCAGCTATATTTTAAGAAGGGGCCACGTGCATGCAGTCCCGTCGCCCCACATGAAATAAAAAGAAAGACTCGAAGCCTGGCCCTGATCACAGGACACACTGAAACGGCCCTGATCACTCACTGAACACGCTGAAATGCTGCTTTAAGGAGCATTTTACAGGAGAAAAGGATATTGGCAACTCAACTGTTAAGCCTCTTCCTGGAGATCACTCTGATGTCACCAGTGTAATCTGAGCCTGGAGCTTTTGTTCACACTTTAAATAGCAGTGCAGGAATGATTTTGCTACACACACTCTCTGGAGAGCCTGGGAGCCGCATTCTGGAAGATCCCCACGTCCATGAGAGCAAAGCCAAGCCGCCGAGCGGTCAGCACCATGTCCACCTCGCTGAGAGTCAGCCCGTCCATCCACGGCTACCACTTCGACACGGCCTCTCGCAAGAAAGCCGTGGGCAACATCTTTGAAAACATAGACCAAGAATCGCTACAGAGGCTCTTCAAAAACTCTGGAGACAAGAAAGCAGAGGAGAGAGCTAAGATCATTTTTGCCATAGATCAAGATTTGGAGGAGAAAACGCGAGCCCTCATGGCCCTGAAGAAGAGGACCAAAGACAAGCTTTTCCAGTTTCTGAAACTGCGGAAATATTCCATCAAAGTTCACTGAGGGCAAGAGAATGGATAAGGACATTATCCAAAGACGGACATTCAAAGACCAAGTGAGTTTGTGAGATTCTAGCAAAGGCGGCGTGTGGCAGCTGCCGGGCCAGCTTCTCTTCTGTCAGGACTCCCAAGGCTGGATGGGACAGGAGGAGCCCGGCAAGCTAGTTACAGACTCCAGCCAGTTTTACGCCTGTGGTGTTACAGTGGAGAACAAAATGCTTTCAGCCAGATTCAGAAACTTTCCCTGCAGGCCAGGATTGATGCTGATAGCAGGGTCTGGACAGATGTAAGGAGAAGACAGGCGGCTGGAGATGACATATATCCAGGGTCACTTTGTCAGGCCCCAGGACTTCACTTTAAACTGAACTTTTTTTTTTTTTTTTTTTAATCAAACTGGGTAGGGGGAGAGGGGAGGGAGAGGATGAACAGGGAGATAGGTTCCCTTGCATAAATTGTTTACTGCATTTTTTTGATTGAATGTTTGAAATGTTGCCAAGCCTCAATGTTGGTATAGCCTTTTAGAGATGGGTGATTAATTATTTATTTGCATTTATTCCAATGACTGGAAGGGTGCACCACGTGGATGATAAGTACAATTCCAAGGTAACCAAGATACCTTTAGTATCAGCCCTGTAAAAACTACACGCACCTTTCGGTTTGTAAAGGGTTTTTATACTTTTCAAACGGGTTGCACAGAAGTTAAAATGATGGGGTCCTTTATAAAATCCAAAGTACTGTGAAAAAACTTTATAATTTTTTTTATCTTCTGACTAATGCTAAAAACATAATCTAAATTTCATATAGTTACTACAGTCAGCATTAGGAAGTGAATGTGATATACTCAGTAGTTTATAAAGATGCTATGGTTTCTATAATTTATTATACATGGCAAGCGATATGCAACTATAATAAATTATTATATACTAGGCTGGTTTGGGTCTGTGATGCTTGGTTTACAAGGAAAAAAAGACATGATACATTTTGATGATTATAAATGTTCTTAAAGTTTTATCTCTAAAAAGTAAAAAAGTCTTTTTAGAGTAGCTTCACATTAATTATCAAACTTTTTCAAAACAAAGTCTTACTTCAAATATTTGGGAAGTTTCTCTGCCCTTATTTTGGAGCGTAAGAGATACAGAAATTCAAGGATTGACCTGACAACATTGCTGTTTATGTACCCACTGAGGGGGAGTTTTAAAAGGCTTTCTCTTCATGTTTTTGAATTTTTTCCTTGGTGATTTTAGTAGCTATGGACATTTTGCGGGTTTAGAATCTGAATTGTGGTCAAGAGTCTGAGGGTTATCACTTTAGTTAACATAAATATAGGAGTAACGTTACCAGCTCTTTTTGTTTCCTCATAAAAGTATAATATTATAAAGTGTTTCTAGGAAGGCATATGTCAGTGTCTGCTGTGCTTTTCTAACAGAAAGAAATAAAAATTCCACAGAAATTGAGCATTTAAGAAATACGTACAAAGCCTTTTTCAAAACGCTGAGCGCAGGGAACTGAGACAAGGGAAATACTAAAAACTCTGGGGAGGTTTTTATGAGTCAGGGTGTTAAAATACTAAATTTTAAAACAGGAAATCAAGTGGTAGAATCTACTTTCAAATATTAGCTGATGCATTCACTAAAGACAATAAAAATAACTCCATTAAAAAAAAATTCTTTCCAAGACAGCATCCATGAAAATCATGACTATGCAGAAGTGTGTGTGTGTGTTCATGCCTGTGTGTCTGTGTGTGTGCGTTCATGCCTGTGTGTCTGTGTGTGCGTGTTCATGCCTGTGTGTGTGTTCATGCCTGTGTGTCTGTGTGTATGTGTGTTCATGCCTGTGTGTCTGTGTGTGTGTTTTCATGCCTGTGTGTCTGTCTGCATGTATATCTGTGTGCGTGTGTGTCTGTGTTTGAGTGTGCACGCACGCATTTTTCTGGGAAGAGTATTCATAATCTTCACTAAATTTGCAAAGAAAACCTTGACACCAAATAAAATTAACAACAGAAGAAGAAGGGTTTTGACAGGTGGGAGGCTCTGTGGGTGGTGGTACCAGGGACTGGAACACACCCAGGCTCTATTTGCCCATCCTGGAGAACTGAGTCCGCCTCGCGTCCTCTGGGCACGGTAGCAGTAAGCTTCCTGCTCTGAGTGGGCCCATCAGTGAAAAATCTTAAGTTATTTTCTCCAAAAAGACTGAAGTACATGCTGGATGCTAAACATGGTTCAAAGGTAGAATTTATCACACATACTCCTCACTATCTACTCTGGCTCTGTGGTTTTCAGGAGAGTGCAATGTGTATCTTGTCCCCTCTTCCCATTATTAGCATGGGTTACATTGTTTTCTTGCAATGTATTACGTTGTTTTCTGATTTCAAGACCATAATAGGAGAAATGAATTAAAAAGCAATTTGGATGCAATCCGCAGCAATGTAGGGGGTGGGAGGAAACAATAAAGTCTTTCAGTCGATTATTACAAACATGGTATCTTTCCCTTTCGTGAAGAACAAATGTTGGCGTCAAGGTAATTCATAAGGCTGGTTTTTAGCTTTCTAATACATATGTTATTTAAGGTCATTAAAATAGGGAGAATTTGTTCCGTTCAGAATTTCACAATGGCAAGGGGCAGTATGTCTCCAGACACCCCACTTGTGATAGAAGAAATAAAAGCAGCAAAGGTTAAATAGCCCATTAATACTATTTAGATCATTAGGGTCGAAATAATAACAACAAACTTTCATTGAGGGTTTGCTATCGGTCAATTTTCTAAGTGTTTTTTGTGTATTAAATCGCAGAACACTGTAATGTAAGACATAAGAGCAAGTGCGTATATGCACATGAATTGACAGAGGGCACCCCCAAAATGCATACACGTTTTTAAAAAGGAAAAAATGGTGTTAAAATTGTACTTCTCAAAGTATACCAACATTTGCTACCTTGTATACTGTACCTTATATAGAAGAAATACTAAATGACTTTAGTATTACAATTTTAATGCGGTTTTTCTCTTCCTTAACATGTGTATACATTTTTTTTTTTTGCAAGTTTTGGCTGGGGCTGGGTTTGAACCCACCACCTCCAGCATATGGGTCCAGCACTCTATTCCATTCAGCCACAGGCACCACCTGATGTATACACAATTTTTGCATCCTCTTTTTATACAGTAATGAAACTGAAGCACAGAGATGCAGTGACACACAGCTGATGAGTCCAGGAATGGAATCCAGGAAGGCAGGACTTTGCTTCTAGCCAGTAGACTGAACTGCGTCTCCAGGAGAAATCAAGCTCCTTTCAGAGAGACAATTACGTCCATCCTGGTCAGTGAGAAGGGTAAGGCGGCATGGCCTCTAGGAAACCACTTTGATCTGATCCGCGTCTATTTATTTGGCATTTGTACAACGTAGGGACAAAGTCATAGTTGAATAATTTTAACCGTGTCAAGAGTTTGCTTAGATACAGTTTTTGAAGTCTGCAGTTAAAATAACACTTGTATTAGCGTCTTAGAAAAAAAGCCCACTTCTAAAATTCTAGTCAGTCAAGATGGTGGGTCTTGGTTTGTGCACTGGGGGAGATCAGAAACTTTGAATTCATTATTTTATTCACTGAGTTCATCACCCAGTCAGCAACAAGAGCGGGTGCAGGCGGGACTTACTGAGAAAGGTGTGTAGGGTATAATGACTGACTATATTTTTTCCCCATTGTCAGAGGGTAATCAGAAGATGCAACTGATATTTCCTTGGGAAGTTCTACCTGCCAATAAGCAAATAATTAAGCCACGGTCTGGAGATTGTGTGTCCTTCTGGCGTAGCTCACTGACCCGTCTGTACCTCACATGGGGGTTGCCCAGCATGGCATATAATTTAGTTAGTTCTTTTTCTCACACGTTGGGAACTGTAGAGTGGAAGCAGCTTTTATACTTCTTCATTCATGTAATGAAAATATGGTAAACACCCATGTGGGAGCTGACATAGCCAGAATCATTCCCTATGCTCCTTGTCAGAAAAGCCAGAAAAGGTTTTAAAATGAAAATGAATGGGCTGGGTGCAGTCCCCCCTGTAATCCCAGCACTCTGGGAGGCTGAGGTGGGTGGATTGCCTGAACTCAGGAGTTCAAGACCAGCCTGAGCAAGAGTGATTTGCTGTCTTTACTAAAAACTAGCCAGAAATAGTGGCAGGCACCTGAAGTCCCAGCTCCTCAGGAGGCTGAGGTAAGAGGATGGCTCAAGCCCAAGAGTTGGAGGTTGCTGTGAGCTGCGGTGCTACAGCACGCTACCAGGGCAACAGAGTGAAACTCTGTCTCAAAATAAATAAATTAAATTAAAAAAATGAAAACGAATGATTAAAATTGTGAGATCTATGATAGGAGCTTAAACAGGATAGTATGGAAGTACAGGAAAGAAATGGTTTGAGTGTCTGAGTGTCTGTCTGACTGTGTGTCTGAGTGTCTGTGTGTGTCTATCTGAGTGTCTGTGAGTCTGTCTGACTGCGCGTCTGAGTGTCTGTGTGTCTGAGTGTCTGTGTGTCTGTGTG